CTCCCGCCCAACCCCCCCCCCCCCCCAGCCCACCAAAATCCGTGGTTTTTTTAAATCTCCCCTTTGCAGGTCGGGAAGTTGATCAAAGAAGCCGCTTCAAAAAGTAACCTCAAGAGGGTGACTCTGGAGCTTGGTGGGAAGAATCCTTGTATCGTCTGTGCAGATGCTGACTGTGAGTCTGCGGCGGGGCTTGTACCGGAAGTGTTAAACTGTTTCCTGCAATAGCACCGAGTTTGCCAACCTCCCGGCCTCCTAGACGCACCCACCGGGGTGTGAGTTTCACGACTGAGCCGGTAGCAGCTCTGCGGTGTGGTCTGAGGATATGAAAACGGGGTGGGGGTTGGAAATGTAAATCTAATGTGGGGACCTTCTACCACATGTGGTGGAAGTGTAAAAAAGCTCAAAAATATTGGGGTATGATGAACAAAACAATACATGAAGTTCTAGAACTGAACCTAGATTTGAGTCCAGAAGTATTCCTGTTAAATATTGTTCCAGATGGATATAATCACAAAGATGTATATCTTATAGTTTATATACTAACAGCAGCCAGAATGTTGATGGCAAAGTACTGGAAATCCGAGGAAATACCCTCTAAAATAGATCTAAGTTTAAAACTGTTAGAACTAGCACAAATGGACGATCTGAGTATAAAACTACAGGGGAAAAATAACATGGTACATGGCTATAGATGGAATAGGGTGTACGCATGGATAAATAAGCTGGTGATATGAAGAACTCTGAAAATTTATGTAAGCTGTCAAGTTATCTTGTATAATGCTAATAAAAAATAAAACAAAAAGTTAAAAAACAACCACAACGGGGTGGGGGGTTATATGTTAGCAAACAGAAAAGAGCCGGTGTGTGTCTGTGAGGCACATGTGATCCAAAATCCTTTCCATGTTCCATAAAAACATGAGGACTTTGTAATGAAGAGAAGAGAGATTGGATTTATACCCCACCCTTCACTACCCGAAGGAGTCCTAGAGCGGCTTACAATCTCCTTTCCCTTCCCTTCTCTGCAGCATGCGGAGGAGTGGGGAATCAAATCCGGTTCTCCAGATTAGAACCCGCCACTCTTAACCACTACACCAAACTGGCTCTCTGATGTGTATATAAACTCTAAGACTATGGCAAGGTGGCTCTTGGTCTCTGAGGTCTGACTTTTCCACTGGCTAGCCTGCACTTCTATGTCCCAGCCCAGTTTTATGTAGCACATTTTATGTAGCACACTATATTAAGAGGTGCCAGCGCTCAGCGGTTAGAGGTCCTAGGTTCAACCCCTGGCATCTCCAGTTAAAAGGACCAGGTAGCAGGTGATGTGAAAGGCCTCCACCAGGAGATCCATTGCCAATTGGAGTAGTCAGTACTGACAATTCTTGACTACTCTGGGCCTAGTGTTGCCATAGCAACAAGACAAGGCCCCTGCCATTGAAAACCCTGTTTTCTTTTCTCGGCCCCTCCTAGTGGACTTAGCAGTCGACTGTGCCCACCAAGGGGTCTTCTTCAATCAAGGCCAGTGTTGCACAGCCGCTTCACGGGTCTTTGTGGAAGAGCCAGTCTACCCGGAATTCGTCAAGCGCAGCGTGGAATATGCCAAGAAACGGCTCGTGGGGGACCCATTTGATGCCAAAACCGACCAAGGGCCACAGGTAAAAGCACCCACGTGAGCAAGCATGTTGGTTCCAGATGTTATTTGTTGTAGGACGAATTTGAGTAAAGCGATACAAGGACAGGGGTTTCATACAGCGAATTTCCTTCTGTTAATAAGCTGTCTTTGAAGTGCCATGGTCACTTTCCCCCCCGCTACTTTCCCCCCGCCCTTTTTCGCCGCACAATCTTCCTCAGAGATTTTTTAAACATTCTAAGTTTAGCACTATCGTGCTAACCCAAAATAGCACTTTGGTGCTAAAGCGGCACCATGAACTTAGAATGTTTTTTTTTAAGTCCACAGAAGACCGAATGGCAAAAAAGGGTGTGGGGGAAAAGTGGCATTGTAGGAAATGCTATGGATATTTTAAACAGCACACCACAGCAATTCAGAAGCACGATAAAGGGGTAGAAAATGGAAGAAAGCAGTTTCCCTTAAAAGCGGCTCAACCATGCTTTGCTAACTCGATGCAAGCGGGATTGTACGAACAGGTAAATAAATTCCGCTAGCAGCCAGTTACTAAAACGGGTCTGTCTGTCTGAAGTAACAGAAAAAATCCATTAGCAACCAGTTACTAAAATGGAATACAACGGCAGTTTGAAAATAGCCTTTGTTTCTGCAACATACAGCTCTTTCCAGTTAACACCTGAATTGTAAAGCTGCACCTGTGTAACATCATCGGTCATTATATTCATATGTAGGTTTTTGCATGAAGTTTCATCTTGCCATCCTAGGCAGAGATACACCTCTCTAAATTGGTTGACCTCAGTGGACTTGGAAAGGCATAACCCTGATTACGATGGCACTGTTAATCACCTAGTGGTTTTCTCATTGTTTGCTAGAGGGCGATCTGCCATTACATTCTAGCAGTGCTTCCAACGCTGAGGGGCACATTGGCTCAAGTTCAGACAACGCACAAAACTCTGGTTGAACTATACGAACTATGGTGAGCTTGGTTGTCTGAATGCTAAAAGTAAAGGTTCCCTTTCTCGAAAGCCAGTCAAGCCCGACTCTAGGGCTGCGGTGCTCATCTCCGTTTCCAAGCCGAAGAGCCAGCGCTGTCCGAAGACGTTTCCGTGGTCATGTGGCCGGCATGACTAAACACCAAGGCGCACGGAACGCTGTTACCCTCCCACCGAAGTGGTACCTATTTATCTACTTGCAATTTCTTGCTTTCAAACTGCTAGGTTGGCAGTCTGAATGCTAGACACTCCATTAAACTGTGGTTCATTAGGGACCATCTAACCAGGCTCTGAAGTTGGTGTATTAATCTTTATGGGTTTTGTGCCATGTCTGAATGCAGGCATCCTGGTTTAATCCTGGCTTCAGCAACACTTACCCTGGCAACAGAGAGAAGGAAATGAGGAACCGGTATATGTTGAGGGTAAACAAGGATCTGAGCGATTGCCTGCAAGTTGAATCCAGCTTTCACAAACTAACTATATTTAAAATAAAGTCTAAAAGGTAAAGGTAAAGGTTCCCTTGCTCGAAAGCCAGTCGAATCCGACTCTAGGGCTGCAGTGCTCATCTCCGTTTCAAAGCCGAAGAGCCAGCGCTGTCCGAAGACGTTTCCGTGGTCATGTGGCCGGCATGACTAAACACCAAGGCGCACGGAACGCTGTTACCTTCCCACCGAAGTGGTACTTATTTATCTACTTGCAATTTCTTGCTTTCGAACTGCTAGGTTGGCAGGAGCTGGAACTAGAGATGGGAGCTCCCTCCATCATGCGGCACCCGGGTCTCGAACTGCTGAACTACTGACCTTCCACAGCCTGCAGTTCAGCGTCTTAACCACTTGAGCCACCGCAGCTCCATAAAATAAAGTCTAGAGCTGCATTATGTCTGAACCGGACCTTCATAGCTAGATTAAGACATTTTCCTTTAAACATTACAGTTAGTTTGTGAAACTAGGACATTTCACAGATGGTCACTGAACACAAGCTTGCCTTGACAAATGTTGGTTTCATTGCCTTTTTTACTCCTCCCCCCCCCCCGGAACCCTGGCTCGTGTCCCTAGCCTGCCATCTGGTAATAGCAGCCCTGGTAGGCAGGATATTGGGGAGGGGGCTTACTGAAGTGATGTCATGCAGTGCTACAGCATCACTTCCAGTGGCATAACTGGAAGTGACCACACTGCCGTGGAGCGGGGGTTTCAAGGGTGTCCCAGAGTGCCTCATGATGTGGTGACGTCACCTCCAGTGAGACAGGCAGAAGTGACGTGGGATGCCATTTTGCCCCCGCCCTTTTTCCTTCAGCGCCCCCCTGAGCAGCTGTGGGGGCCCAAGGCAAGGTGGGTCACCTGTCTCCAAGTGGGGCATGGCAGGGGTCATTTCGTAGAAAAAGAGGTGCAGGAGCTCATTAGCATAACTCATTAGCATAACTTATTTGCATATGCCACACACCCCTGACATCACCGGAAGTGTGTCAGAAGGCAACACCCACCGCTCAGGCGCCACTGGACTGTTTTGGATTGCTAGCTATTGGGGGGGGGGAGAATGTGCAGATCTGCCCTCACAGAGGAGGGAGAGCTTGTACCTGAATAAAACTTGGTCTTAAAGGTGCCACTGGACTGTTTTGGACTGGGGGGCCGGGAGGAGGCTCTGCAACTTACCTGGCTGCTTCTTGCTCTGACTGAGGGCTGCTGGGAGCAGGGGGTGGGGCTTGTTGCATGTGCCCGCCCCCTGGGCTCTTTATTGCCGGAGCTCCCCTCCTGCAGGAAATGACCCCTGGGGCATGGAGATCTCCCAGAGGTACAGCTGATCTCCAGCGTACAGAGATCCATTCCTCTGAAGAAAACGGCTGCTTCGGAGGGTGGACTCTGTGGCATCGTACCCTTCTCTTTCCACACTTTGTCCCCAAACCTACAGGAATTTCCCAGTCTGAAACTGGAATCTCTACAAGCGAGCCAGGATTCTACCAATGCATCTGCCTGTGTCCTGCGAACCATTAAGACCAAATGTGGCTTTAAAATTCAGCTTCAAATTATGGTTTAAGAACCTGGTTTGATGGACACTCATGATGGGGTGGACCATACTCATATGACCACACGAACTATAGTTTAATGAAAGCACGGCTTGCCATTTCGGTTTAATTGAGCCAGTGTGCAACGGGGACAGAGGTGTGCTTCAAAACACTTTGGTTGTAGAGGTATGCTCATTGGAGATGAACGATTGGCTTCTGCTCCCTAGCGCATAGAATGAGGCTGAAATGAGACTTCTGCAAGCAGGAGAGATCTGGTACCAACAATAGCTGCACTCTCTCTCCCCCCCCTCCCCCTTTGTATTGTAACAGATTGACCAAAAACAGTTCAATAAAATCTTGGAGCTCATTGAAAGTGGGAAGATGGAAGGAGCCAAGCTGGAATGTGGCGGCTTGGCCATGGGAGATCGAGGCCTGTTCATAAAGCCCACCGTTTTCTCGGAGGTCACGGACAACATGCGCATTGCCAAAGAGGAGGTATGGCCCAACAGAAATCTTCAGCACTGGGTTAATAGATATGTTGCTTGAAACAGTATAAAGCCACATCAGAAATCAGTTTCACTGGATTACAGCAGTCTGAATAGCCCAGCTTAGCCGGAGCTTGTCAGAGCTTGGAAGCTAAGCAGGGTTGGCTGTAGTCAATACTTGGATGGGAGACCACCAGGGCTTTTTTTGTAGAAAAAGCCCATCAGGAACTCATTAGCATAATAGGCCACACCCAACAGCAGAAACACATTAGCATATTAGGCCACACCCCTGATAGCACAGCTCATTAGCATATTAGGCCAAACCCCCATGTTACCAGAAGTGTGCTCATCCAGCCACACACACCTTTTGCTTCTTATTCTGTTTACTTTGTTTGTTGTCAAAACCCAGGGCCTTTTTTGGTAGCAAGAACTCCTTTGCATGTTAGGCCACACACCCCTAAAGTAGCCAATCCTAATGAGTTTCTGCTGTTGGGTGTGGCCTATTATGCTAATGAGCTCCTGCTGGGCGTGGCCAACTCAGGAGCCAGCTGGAACTCCGTTCCTGTGCGTTCCTGCCCAAAAATAGCCCTGGAGACCACCAAGGAAGACAGGAGTCGCTACATGGAGGAAGGCGATGGCAAACCACCTGTGCTCATCTCTTGCCTGGAACACCCCTGAGATGGGCTCTCCATGAGTCAGTTGCGACTTCATTAGATCAGCTTGTTTTGTTGAAAATGTAAGAGCCTGGTTGGATGAGGCCGACTGTTCTGCACTCTGTTGGCGACAGTGTCCAGACAAAAATGTTTCCCGGAAGCCTACAAGTACGCCAATGTTCTCCCTCAACAGATGGTGTTCAGAGGTGCATTCATTTGGATCTCTTGATGGGTAAGGGCTGTGGCTTAGTGGTAGAGCATCTGCTTTGCATGCAGAAGGCCCCAGATTCAACCCCCAGCATCTTCAGTTAAGAAGATCAGGTCGTAGGTGACTTGAAAGACTTTCTCTTGAGACCTCGGAAAGCCCTTGCCAGTCTGAGTAGCCAAGACCGATGCTGACAGAACAGTTCCACGTGTTCATGTATCCTCCAAGAATCTGTCTAAGCCCCCTTTAAAGCCATTGGTCATTACCCTGATTTGTGGCAAGTTTGTTATTGAAGTAATGGCTTCGGCACCAGATACTGGGAACTGTGGTTTTAGAAGCTGGCTGCATGCAAATATGCAACATACACCCACCCAAAGAGGCACAGCATTGGTAGCCTTGCGCTACCAAATAACCAATCACAGTTGGCCACATTTACCCACAGGGGTCATTTCGTAGAAAAAGAGGTGCAGGAGCTCATTTGCATATGCCACACCCCCTGACATCACCGGAAGTGTGTCAGAAGGCAACACCCACCGCTCAGGCTCCACTGGACTGTTTTGGATTGCTAACTATTGGGAGGGGGGAACGTGCAGATCTGTCCCTGCAGGCTCCGCTCCTGTGCGCTCCTGCAGGAAATGACCCCTGTTTACCCATATTGTGCCGGGGGGGGGGAGCAGGGGGCAGGAACAGCCCGACCCATTAGGCAAAGACAGATGGATTTCTCAAACCAAGGGACATGTTTTACTCCAGCATTTCTCTCTATGCTCGTTTCTAATCCTTTGCACCCAGACCCTACTCTGAACCTCAAAGCCATCTCTCACTGGTGGGAGACAGAGAAGGAGCAGGAGTCCAGGAGCACCTTGCAGACGAACAAAATAGGTGGCCGGGTAGGAGCTTTTGTGAGTCACGGCCAGTGTTCCCTCTAAGCTGAGTTAATGTGAGCTAGCTCACAGTTTTTTAGCCTCTGGCTCACACATTTTTGTCTCAGCTCAGGAAGGAGGGCTCTGGAGCAAACGGATCTATGCAGTAGCCAAAGTGCTCACTCACTGGTGGCTTCCTGCAGCACCGCCAATATAAGCAGTCCTCCCATCCACAGCCCCGCTCTATGGATTCCCGACGTTGGTGGTGGGAAGTGCTCTCAGGTCACAGCCGACTCACAGCGACCCTGTAGGGTGTCCAGGGCAGGAGACGGACCGGAAGCCTGCCTCCACGTCACAACCCTGCCCCTCCGTGGTGCGTCTCCCACCCAAGTGGAAACCGCGGCTGACCCCGCTTAGCTTCTGAGATCTGAGGAGACTGCCTCCCCGCCCAGGAGAAACTGTGACGTTTCAGTGCTAGGCCAGCCTCAGGGGGAAAAGTGGCCTGAATGCTTTGCCTAATGGCCGCTAGGAGACTCTTTCCCCGCAAGACAGGGAGCATCCATCAAAATGGTAAAGATGGGAGAGCAAACCACCCTTTACACCTCAACCATCTGTATCAACAAAACAGAGATACTGCCAGGTTGGAGTCAAGGATTGTGCGGGAGAGGGAGGGAGAGGGAGAGAGATCTTAATTTTAGAGAGTTCTAGGTTTGGGTAGACATGTCCACTTATACCTGTTATGTATATCTTTTTATTTGGTGTAGTGGTTAAGTGCGCGGACTCTAATCTGGGAGAACCCTCCCAGTTTAGAGTCCGCACACTTAACTACTACACCAAACTGGCTCTCAGCAGTGACTCAGGAAAGCTCCCCCACCCCCCAGCCACATATTTTGTTAGCCTGCAAGGTGCTCCTGGACTCAGGGATGGATTAAGGGTCCCGGGTGCCGATTAAGGCTCCCGGGTGCCCTGAGCACTGACCAATCTTGGTGCCCCCCCTTCTTTCCACACTGACCCCCCCCAGTCCATTTTAGCGGTTGACCTGTCTGACCAGATATACAATGCAGGTTGCAGCAGTACAAAAACTTATTCATAGGATAACACAATAGACTGTACAAACTAAGCTCTTCACCCTTTCCCCAACTTTGTGGTGCCCCCTTTGGCCCTGGTGCCCTAAGCACCTGCCGAGTCTGCTTCATGGTTCATCGGCTCCTGCCTGGACTCTTGCTCTTTTCTACTGCTACAGATAGACTAACGCGGCTGCCCATCTTGGAGGCAGACAAGCTTTAAACACGTAGGCCTGGATACTGGCACCTCCTCCGAAGGAGCGACACATCGCTTTTTGTTGGCTGCTTTTGAGCCTGGATGCAGGAGGTGGCTTCCAGTGCTCCCCCTAAGCTGTGGTGTCTTGTGAGCGAAAATTCTACTTCGTGAGCTACTGGCATTAAAGTTGTGAGCGAGTGATTTGGCTACTGCATCAATTGGTTTGCTCTGGAGCCCTCCTTCCTGAGTGGAGACAGAAATGTGTGAGCCGGAGGCTAAAAAACTGCGAGCTAGCTCACACTAACTCAGCTTAGAGGGAACACTGGTGGCTTCCTGCAGCACCGCCAATATAAGCAGTCCTCCCATCCACAGCCCCGCTCTATGGATTCCCAGCGTTGGTGGTGGGAAGTGCTGTCAGGTCACAGCCGACTCACGGCGACCCTGTAGGGTGTCCAGGGCAGGAGACGGACCGGAAGCCTGCCTTTGCCTGCCTCCACGTCACAACCCGGTCCCTCCGTGGTGCGTCTCCCACCCAAGTGGAAACCGTGGCTGACCCCGCTTAGCTTTTGAGATCTGAGGAGGCTGCCTCCCCGCCCAGGAGAAACTGTGATGTTTCAGTGCTAGGCCAGCCTCAGAGGAAAAACTGGTCTTTCCCCGCAAGTCAGGGAGCGTCCATCAAAATGGGAAAGATGGGAGAGCAAACCACCCTTTACACCTCAACCATCTGTCTCAACAAAACAGAGATACTGCCAGGTTGGAGTCAAGGATTGTGCAAGAGAGGGAGGGAGATCTTAATTTTGGAGAGTTTTAGGTTTGGGTAGACGTGTCCACTTATGCCTATTATGTATATCTTTTTATTTGGTGTCATGGTTAAGTGCGCGGACTCTAATCTGGGAGAACCGGGTTTGATTCCCCACTCCTCCACTCGCACCTGGCTGGATGACCTTGGGCAAGCCATAACTCTGGCACAGCTGTTCTTGAAAAAGAGCAGTTTCTGTCAAGAGTTCTCTCAGCCCCACCTACCTCGCAGGGAGTCTGTTGTAGGGAGGGGAAGGGAAAGGAGTTTGTAAGCTGCTCTGAGACTCCTTTGGGGCGGGGTATAAATCCAATTTCCTCTTCTTCTTATTATTATTAGATTGAATAAATATTTTAACGTGGGTTTGAGGATCTAGCAGGGTCAGCCCTGGTTAGTCCTCGGGTGGGAGGACACCAAGGAAGTCCAGGCGGCAGCAACAGACCACCTCTGCTCATCTCTGTTCGACCTGTGGGGGCCGCCATAAATCAGCTGTGACTTGATGGCGTTTCCCATCACTGCTATAGATAAACCAAAGGCCTAGGAGTCTGTATTATAACCAGAAGGGGTTTGCTTGTGTCTTCAAACACAAAATGGCTTGGCCTATTCCATTTAGACATGTGCACTCCCATGCCATCCCATGCGCTTTGAGACCCATAGCTCATTCAAAGAGGACTGAGGGTCAGTGACACAGCGTTAAAAGGGTGCGGCTGCAGGCATGAATGCCTAGGTGAAAACCTACTTAGCTTCTAGCTTGTGGCCACCCCAGCAAGGGGCTCTCACGGCAAGTGAGAAGCAGAGGTGGTTGACCATTCCCTTCCTCGGCAGAGCCTTCCTTGGTGGTCCCCCCCATCTAAGTACTGAACCTACTTAGCTTCTAGCTTGTGGCCACCCCAGCAAGGGGCTCTCACGGCAAGTGAGAAGCAGAGGTGGTTGACCATTCCCTTCCTCGGCAGAGCCTTCCTTGGTGGTCCCCCCCATCTAAGTACTGAACCTACTTAGCTTCTAGCTTGTGGCCACCCCAGCAAGGGGCTCTCACGGCAAGTGAGAAGCAGAGGTGGTTGACCATTCCCTTCCTCGGCAGAGCCTTCCTTGGTGGTCCCCCCCATCTAAGTACTGAACCTACTTAGCTTCTAGCTTGTGGGCAACCCCGCAAGGGGCTCTCACGGCAAGTGAGCAGCAGAGGTGGTTGGCCATTCCCTTCCTCTGCAGAGTCTTCCTTGGTGGTCCCCCCCATCTAAGTACTGAACCTGCTTAGCTTCTAGCTTGTGGCAACCCCAGAAGGGGCTCTCACGGCAAGTGAGCATCAGAGGTGGTTGGCCATTCCCTTCCTCGGCAGAGCCTTCCTTGGTGGTCCCCCCCATCTAAGTACTGAACCTACTTAGCTTCTAGCTTGTGGCCACCCCAGCGAGGGGCTCTCACAGCAAGTGAGAAGCAGAGGTGGTTGACCATTCCCTTCCTCGGCAGAGCCTTCCTTGGTGGTCCCCCCCATCTAAGTACTGAACCTGCTTAGTTTCTAGCTTGTGGCCACCCCAGCAAGGGGCTCTCACGGCAAGTGAGAAGCAGAGGTGATTTGCCATTGTCTTCCTCTGCAGAGCCTTCCTTGGTGGTCTCCCATCCAAGAACCAGTTGGTGTTTTGAAATCTTAGCTTCCGAGATCTGACAGGATCAGGGTGTGCCATGCCCCCTTCTCACCCCCTCTATCGGCGTGGCCCTGTTTTATGCTGCGAGGGTTAAGGACAAGCTTGTCTGAGGCTGTTTCTGTTCTGGTACATTACTTGCGATTAAAGAACTTGTTTAGAAAAACCGGATTGCTCGCATAGTGACAGCCATGTGGAGAGAATGCAGAACTTGGCCAATTTTGTTTTGACAACAGCAAGCCCTCTGCAAAAAAGGGTTTTTTTTTAATGCTCATGGTATTTGCAAACTCTAAATAATTGTGCTTGGAGTACTCCGTATTTGTGTCTCATTCATTGCTCCCCTTTGTATTTTGAATACAGCTAAATAAAATCTGGCTGCTAAGTGACACATTTTAACAAATGCCTTTTCCTTAACCAAAGCAGTGGTAACTTTTACTTAGCTCATGCGTCTACTAGACACATTGGCAACTAGAGCAAGGTAACAGACAAGTTGAAATAATCAATGTAAAAGGCAGGTAGTTAATCAATTGTCCCCTTTGTGATACTGACAGATTTTTGGACCGGTGCAACCCATAATGAAGTTTAAAAACCTTGAAGAAGTCATTCAGAGAGCCAACAACACGGAATATGGACTCACCGCCGCCGTGTTTACAAAGAACTTGGACAGAGCCCTGACGTTAGCTTCGGCGCTACAATCCGGGACAGTCTGGTAACATTTCTTTTCTCTGCAAAAGACTGACCAATGCAGGTGGTCTTACCTTCGATCCAAACTTGCCACTGTAGAGGTATAAAGTAGCAAAAGAGTGCATTTGCCCTGCTACGTCTGTGGACCAGGCAGGGGTCATTTTGTAGAAAAAGAGGTGGCAATAGAAGGGTGATAAAATCGGCCAGGGATGGATTGGCTGCCTGATCTACTCAGGGGTCATTTCGTAGAAAAAGAGGTGCAGGAGCTCATTAGCATAACTCATTAGCATAACTTATTTGCATATGCCACACCCCCTGACATCACCGGAAGTGTGTCAGAAGGCAACACCCACCGCTCAGGCTCCACTGGACTGTTTTGGATTGCTAGCTATTGAGGGGGGGGGGACGTGCAGATCTCTCCTCGCAGAGGAGGGAGAGCTTGTACCTGAATAAAACTTGGTCTGAAAGGTGCCACTGGACTGTTTTGGACCGGGGGGCCGGAGGGGGCTCTGCAACTTACCTGGCTGCTTCTTGCTCTGACTGAGGGCTGCTGGGAGCAGGGGGTGGGGCTTCTTGCATGTGCCCGCCCCCCTGGGCTCTTTACTGCCGGAGCTCCGCTTCTGTAGGAAATGACCCCTGGATATACTGGGAAAATTCCAGGTGGGCTGCTTTCCACCGGCAGCCAAGCGTAGTCCTGATTGTCCGGCAATGACTGCTCTGCTCCGGCCCTGTGAGCGGTGATGGTGATGGCCGTAGGCTTCCTCGTTGTTGCCAGCCGGACCCAAGCCACAGAGAGCAAGCCTGCGTCTGTTGCCCCACTGACTGGGCCCGAGATGACTGCTTGACTCTCCCTGATCCAGGGCTGCTTGAACAGCCTGCCTTTATAGCAGGGCTCCCCAGCCCTTTTCAGCCTGTGGGCCCCTTTAGAATTCTGACGCAGCGTGGAGGGCCCAGCCACAGAATGACTGCCACGGCTTACCTTTAGTCGCACAGTGGAGGTCCTCGTGCTATGCGTGGCGGCTTCTGCCAAAGCCACATTTTTAGAAAGTCTGCACAGCCAATCAGATCTCCAGTGGCTGCCCTGACGCCTGCCTTACAGGGTTGCTGTTCCTTTCTGAGAGAACGTGTGAAGTGCTTTTGCAGGCTCCTGCCCACTGGTGGCCAGCTGGCCAGTGGGAGAAAATTCCCCCCCAAACAGCGACATGCTAACGTCACCCAGAAGTGATGTAGGCGTGTTGGTAACATTGGGGAGGATGCTCTGGTTTTGGGGCAAAACTCTGTGGTTTGAGGGCTATTTTACCATAGAGTTTTGCCCCAAAACCAGAGCGTCACCCCCAACGTCACCAGCATGCCTACGTCACTTCCGGGTGACGTATGCAAATCGCGCAACGTCCCCGCCCACTCCTGGAACACACACAACCCAATCCCCCCCCTCCATGCACAATGATCAGACCTGGCAACTCTACCTGTGAGGTGTGCTCTACATCACGAAACCTCCTGCTGGAATCCCTGCCGTTAATCTTGAAGATGGTCACAGGACTCCTGTGTTATTGTACTGCCACAGACTGGCATCGCTTTCCATCGGGCTGTTCTCTCTTGACCTGAATGTCGTCCGTCCCCCCCCCCCTTTGTTTCTCTCACAGGGTGAACTGCTACACTGCCCTTTACGCACAAGCTCCCTTCGGTGGCTTCAAAATGTCAGGAAATGGCAGAGAACTGTAAGTTGGGCTTCCATTTAGTGATCTAAAAAGAGGGGCGGGGACCAGTGTTCCCGCTAAGCTGAGTAATGTGAGCCAGCTCACAGTTTTTTAGCCTCCGGCTCACACATTTTTGTCTTAGCTCAGAAAGGGCGGCTCCAGAGCAAAGTATTTCAGGCAGCAGCCAAATCGCTCGCTCGCAACTTTGATGCCAGTAGCTCATAAAGTAGAATTTCTGCTCACAAGACTCCACAGCTTAGAGGGAGCATTGCCGGGGACCCCAAATTGCACTTGAATCCAACTCAGTTCATCTTAAAACAGCACGACCGCTTCGAATGTTGTGTTTGCAAAACATTTCCTGGGTTCCTTCAGTGGACCAGGGAATATCCGAAATAAGTGGGCATGCTGTCCCTGTACCCTGCTTTTTGCATGTGCTCCTCCGCCTCTGAACCGTGAGGCCTTCAGGGATCCTCTGCCTTGAGAATTCCGTCTCTGAGGACGGGGCCTGCAGCTCCGCGGTCGTGCCCAGCCTGCAGAGCGCCTGGGTGAGGAAAGTGTGCCTGTTGTGAGGCCTTCTGGGGCCTTGGCAGAACAGGGCGACGTGGACGGCCTTGCGGTAGGTGCTTCAGAAGCCTTGCCTAGAATCAGGGGTCGTTTCGTAGAAAAAGAGCAAGGGGAACTCATTAGCATATGCCACACCCCCTGACATCACCGGAAGTGTGTCATGAGGCCACACCCCCTGACATCACCGGAAGTGTGTCATAAGGCCACACACCTCGCCCCCAATGGTCTCAGCCGCCACCGCCGGCGTTGCAGATCCACTGCCGAGCCCCATGAGGGGCCCTGCGGTGGACCTGCAAGGCCGGCGGGTGTGCAAGGAAGCCCCGCAAAGGCCCTCCCTGGCCCCAGGCAGGCAGGGGTGGGGAGAGGCAGGGAGGAAGCAACTTACCCTCCCTAGCTAGGGTTGCCAGCCTTTAGTCTGGGGGCGGGCTGGAGATCTCCTGGAATCACAACTGGTCCACCAGACAGATCAGTTACCCTGGAGAAAATGGCTGTTTTGGAGGGCGGGCTTTATAGCACGATACCCCAAACCCTGCCTTCCCCAGGCTCCACCCCCAAATCTCTAAGAATCTCCTCACCCGGAGTTGGCAGCCATATGGTACAGGAGCTGCCATTTCTGGCTTGTTGAAGGGGTATAAAATGGTAGAAGGAAAGAGGCCTCCACGTCACTTCCGGAGAGGACTCTCTGGACAAAAAGTCCTTACAAGCTACGAAAGAGACGATAAACAGAGAAATAGAGGCTGAAGGACTCTGAATGGTGCCTCGGGAAAAAAGATGAAAATAGAAGATTTGGGGATGTTGTCTTTTGACAATGAATTGTAAAAGTTAGGGGGGGGAAAGAAAATGTATTAATGATTGACTCAGTTTGTTTTATGTTTAAACGAAGGAAAGTTTTATTGTGAGTAAGCTAAGGAAGATCTCCTCTCTTGGGTTTTTAGGTAGTGTGGGTATCTTTTCTTTATCCTGTATATGTAGTACCCCTTCCTGTTTTTTTCTGTAGTAGTTTTTTGTAGTTTGAAAAAATAATAAAAAATCCCCACCGGGGGCTTGAAAAAAGAAAAAAGAAAGAGGCCTTACAACAAATGCAGTATTATACAAATAATGTTTCACTGGAACACCCCGAGAGAGTGTGGATCGCCACAGAGGTCCACAGATACTTCTAGGGGGTCTAGGTTTTCAAGGATTCCACATGTATTTCAGCATCACGTTTTGTGAAAGACCAGTCCTCCAGGACAGCCCTGTTTCAGTGGGTAGAGAGGCTCCAAGGAGCTTCACTCTCCTTCTCTCTCTTGCCCTGTAGGAACACTGACATCCACAACTTAAGATCCTTCCCATTTTTCTCTTGCAGTGGTGAATACGCTCTGGCAGAATACACAGAAGTGAAAACAGTGACTATAAAACTGCAGAAGACTCACTGAACAAGAGAACACCAGGAGACCTAAAATTCTGACACTCTGAATGTTAATGTATGGACTGGAGGGGGGGGGAATGTGCTGAAATTCACAGAGAGAACAAAAATAAATTCTTTAAATAAAACTCGGGGGGGGGGCACACACCAAACCAACACCACATTATTTTACCTTTTTAGGACCTTGTCATAGAAACCTGTTTTGTCAATTACGTGTTCTCAAACTGACGTCCCGCACAAATGATCGTCTTACATTATCTTGCACGTGGCTCTGTAATTTAAACCTGTAAATAGATCAACGTGCGCGGACCACAGTCATGGCTGGAGGCATGACCCAGACTTGGCTGTAGCCACGGATCGATAGCCCCCTGACCCCAGAGCCCGTGCTTTTTAACAGCGGCAATACCCCCTCCCCAAATCTCACATGCTCTTTCCTGACCCTTTTAAAATCTGTGTTATATTTTAAAACCCCGATACACAAAGCACTTTGTCCAAATCCTCTCTCTCCCTCCCTTTTTCACGTTTAGTACTGGTAGTGTCACTGAGCAAATCAAGGCCGTATTTCCTGGCTTACTTTGCACCTTCGGTAGAGGCCAGCCCAACTTTCCCCACCAGACCTCCTCCTTCACCTCACCTCACCTCACTTGGCCTCATGAGTGATCTACAAGAGTCACAAATCACTTTGGGGTTCCAATGTTCCCTCTAAGCTGTGGAGTCTTGTGAGCAAAAGTTCTACTTTGTGAGCTACTGGCATTAAAGTTGTGAGCGAGCGATTAGGCTACTGCATCAATTAGTTTGCTCTGGAGACATCCTTCCTGAGCCAAGACAAAAATTTGTGAGCCAGAGGCTAAAAAACTGTGAGCTGGCTCACACTAACTCAGCTTAGAGGGAACACTGGCCCCACAGCTGGAGGACCACTCTCAAAATTCCCCCCCCCATGAAGTAAATATCCCTTCCTCAGAGAAGACTTTCTCCCCCCCCCATCCTCCACTGCAAAACCTGTGTACCGTACATGTTTTTAAAAATGTAAATTTTCTATTTTTGCAGTAAATTTTAGTAAAGGAGCTCTGTTTCTCAGTTTTACTGTTGCGAGACAGTGTGCGCTTTAAAAAAAAATGCTGAATGAAGCGTGCAGGGATGCGATGCACCGGCTAGTTCTGCACAGTAGCTCTGGCCTAGGTTTCCGTTCCTTTCCGTGGCGCGTGTGCAGAATGCTTCTCTACGGATCGTGCCCAAGGAAGAGAGAGTCAAACTGCAAAACCAGGCAAGGATAGCCTGTCGCCTTATTTTAAATCGACACCATCCTAATGCTGCTGTTTCCCACATGGGGGCGGGCTTGGGTGGTTTCTCCCCTCATGGCCTCCGCCTGGCAGGTTTCCCTGCCCAGGTCCCCTTCAGCAGCCATACCCCTCCTCACCAGCAGGGGGCCTTTTGGTTTTTAAATCTGCAGCTGAATATTCTGACCATCTGTAGCAGTAGGAAAGAGCCAGAGTCCAGCAGCACCTTAAAGGCTGACAAAATTTGTGGGAGGGTACATGCCCTGCCACAAATTTAGTTAGTCTCTAAGGTCCTACTGGACTCCTGCTCTTTTCTACTGATACAGTCCGACTAACATGGCTAATCATCTTGTTTCTAACCATCTGTGTCTCAGGTTCTCGAATTCCTAGGATTCATTTATTTTTTAGAAGTCTGTCTCCCCTTTTGTTTGGGAAAGAGGCTAGAGACTTTTAGAATTGCGATCCTACTGGACTCCTGCTCTTTTCTACTGATACAGTCCAACTAACATGGCTAATCATCTTTTTTCTAACCATCGGTGTCTCAGGTTCTCGAATCCTAGGATTCATTTATTTTTTAGAAGTCCGTCTGTCTCCCCTTTTGTTGTGGAAAGAGGCTAGAGACTTTTAGAATTGCAAGCTGGGACATGAGAGCCAGTGTGGTGTAGTGGTTATCTTGACTAGTATCGGGAAGACCCAGGTTCGAATCCCACCCATGCCGTGGAAGCTTTTTATGGGCGACGTTGGGCCAGTCACACTCTCTCAGCCTAAGCTCCCTCACAGGATTGTTGTGAGGAGAAAATGGACAAGCGGAGAGTGATGTAAGCCGCTTTGGGTCCCCATTCAAGAGAAAGCTGGGCACAAATGAATAAAATAGATAAATCCAGAGACCTTCATACACAGATTATTATAACGATATTCAGTTGCATATAAAAAAAACCAAGAACGCCCACCCTGGAAGGAGACAAGGAAAATGGCTGCCTCTGGGTGAGACTAATCCAAAGTTTCCCACCCACACAGCAACTGTCTGAGCTTTGTTGTGATCTTTCCCAAAACTTTACAACACAACAGGCTTGGGAAAGATAAGGTTAAAGCCAGGGAAACCCTAGGAAGATGGTGCACGAATGCACCACAGTGCTGGGGGAGGAAGTCAAATGACCCATATGGAAAAGAGCACTGTCCGGAATGTTCCATCTTCCTCAGTGGCTGCCACTCTACAATCCGTTTTACATAAACGTCATCCCTTTCCACCGAGTTTTGTCATGGCTCTCTTCAGACACAAGGTGAAACTGTGGTTTACTGGAAGCTCTGGTTAGTTTGTGAAACTGGATTTGGCTACCGGACGATCACTCCAGTCTTTTACCTTGACCAATGCAGGTTTCGTTGCTTTAACTCTGACCAGGCTACTTTATAGTTGTGGAAGCACATGAGAATAGTGCCGAAGAATGAGCTAGGATTGAGACACGACATCCATGTTTATTACCTCAAGAACAACCAGAGTTAAGACTTCCAAGTTCCAACCGTAATTTTGGATCCTGGTTTGACACACTGTCATTAACCCTGGTTAAGTGGAATGGTCACATTCAGACAGGCTAGCCACAGTCATTTTTAAACTTAACCACAGTTTCATGTTACGTCTGAAGCCATCATATCTTGTAACTGCTTCATGTAACAGAGGTTAATTTTTTTTTTGTATACACTGAATTTTTCTACATTTTTATATTCAAATAGCATTAGGCACTAATTGTAAAATAAAACCCTGTAGAGCTTTTCTATTCTATTGCATGTTAGCAGTTTTTATAATGAAATATTACTTTAAAATTGTTGAAATATATGAATATAAATATATTTATAAACTAGAATGCAATTAATCTATTTTTATCACTGGCGGTACGTGGAAATGTTATACTTTTTTTTTATTTTACAAAAGGCATCCTGTTGTAATATTAGTGCCTTGATTCTTAATAAAACTCCAAATTTTTGTGATACGGCTCTTCAATACTGTGCAGGAAGCTTTTGGATATTAAATTAATGCCTTTTCAACATGGATATGAAGCTGTATCAGACTCTTTGATCCTAAGGACACTTTGCTAGGAGTAAGCCCCACTCAGTCATAATATGAGTAGATATACTTAGGAATGGTCCCTTGTTGTATCAAGGCAAGTATTGTCTACTTGCCATCCTTCACTAGGCTGTGTGGCTCAGTGGCAGAGCATCTGCTTGGCATTCAGAAGGCTGCAGGTTCAATCCCTGGCCCCTCTGGTTAAAAGGACCAGGCAACAAGCGATGTGAAAGACCACTACTGAAGACCCTGGAGAGCCGCTGCCAGTCTAAGTAGACCATACTGATCTTGATGACCGAGAGTCTGATAATGTGTTCATGTGACTGTCCAGAGTCAAGGCCTTTCCCATGACCTGCTAACTGGTCTTTCTAAGTGGAGATGCCTGGGATTGAACCTGGGACTTCCTGCATGCCAAGCGGACGCTCTGCCACTGAGCCTTTGTTTCAATATGGACTCTTAGAGGGAAAATTGAAATTATCGTATGGCACTGTGTGTGGAATAGCCAGGAGAACCCGGGGTGGTGGTGGGGGAATGTTTGGCTGCCAAAGCTGTAGCTTTTTTTGGCACCACTAGGTGGCGAGCTATGCTTATTCTTAGGCTGAGAATGCTGTGACTCGCCTAAGGTCATCCAGCTAGCTTCAAGTGGGGAATCGAATCCGGCTCTTGATTCGAGTCTGCCACTCTTAACCATTACACCGAGTTGGCTCCAGTGTTCCCTCTGAGCTGAGTTAGTGTGAGCTGGCTCACAGTTCTTTAGCCTCCGGCTCACACATTTTTGTCTCAGCTCAGGAAGGATGGTTCCGGAACACACTAACTTATGCCGTAGCCAAATCACCTGCTCACAACTTTAATGCCGGTAGCTCACAAAGTGGAATTTTTGCTCACAGGACTCTACAGCTTAGAGGGAACATTGGTTGGCTCTCTCCTAGAAGGAGACCATGGGCTTCCCTGGGAGTCTCCCACCCAGACCTTTTAGTTCCTTGGCTTCACCTAAACATCAAGTGCTGTACGTTGGGCCATGTTCTTGTTCCATCTGAACCTGTCTTGGCCTTGTCCTCCAGCCGCCTGTTATTTTACTGGACCATCAGAAAGCTTTTTTTGACACGGCAAGGTCAGGAAACGGGATGCGTAGCTCCTTCTGAGCCGTTGCTGATGGGTCTACGTCTGCTGCTGACGCTGCTGCTTCCACTCAGAGACGAGTTTGATTTTTGAGACAGAGTTTGGATACAGGGTGGGTGTCGGTGCGTGAGTGAAAATAGGACCACATGACCCCCGGTTTGCAGTTTGATTTGGGAAAGCCACCCACGTCTCCCTGCCGGGTGGATCTGGCCCAATTCCAACAGCCACACCCTCAAAGTGGTGCTATATGTCGGGGGGGGGGGGAATGCAACATCACTGCTATGCTCTATTAATGCTACCCTTGCACAGTAAGAAGAAGAAGAAGAGATTGGATTTATACCCCACCCTTTACTTGGAGTCTCAGAGCGGTTTACAGATTCCTTTCCCTTCCCCTCCCTGCAATAGACACCCAGTGAGGTAGGCGGGGCTGAGAGAGCTCTTGACAGAAACTGCTCTTTCAAGGACAGCTCTGACAGAACTACGGCTTGCCCAAGGTCATCCAGCCAGGTGCAAGTGGAGGAGTGGGGAATCAAACCCGGTTCTCCCAGATTAGAGTCCGCACACTTAACCACTACACCAAACTGGCTCCCACAGCCAGAATTGCAGCCCCACAGCCAGAACTGCAGGTCCAACTTCTTCTGTGCTCTGGATCTTGCAGAAGGTTTCCAACAGAAGGTTGATGTGGGGGCAGATCTTGTCTAGATAACTTTGGAACCTCTGTGCCCAGTGCTATCGCTAGATGGGGGCACACTTCATTTATACCCTGCCTTTCTCTCCAGTGGGAACCCAAAGCAGCTCACGCTGTTCACCTCCATTTTTTCCCCTCACAACAACCCTGTGAGGTAGGTCAGGCTTAGAGCATGCAGCTGGCCCAAAGTCACCCAATAAACTTCCTAGTCTGAGGCTCTGACCACTCTAATGCACTGCCTCCCAGCAGGTGCCCATAAAACTGATCTCCAGGCAGCATTAAGCCCTAGCTTTCTTCACTTCCTAAACATTTATGTTATGCCAGGACCCCTGAACTGAGCCCTTAGTTTCCTGAATCCAGACATTAAACACTCCCATTTTTCTTGGTTCTCAGGTACTGCAGATACTTTTATTTGCTTTGGGGCAAGAGATTTAGACTTGTACTATCTTTAGGTAAAGGTAAAGGTTTCCTTGCTCGAAAGCTAGTCAAGTCCGACTCTAGGGTTGTGGTGCTCGTCTCCGTTTCCAAGCCGAAGAGCCAGCACTGTCCGAAGACGTTTCCGTGGTCATGTGGCCGGCATGACTAAACACCAAAGCGCACGGAA